ATGACTTCTGCATGGCTCCTTTGGACCCGTGGCAACTCTGAGTCAACAGGCAAGTAAGTAAGGGAGTTATTGTGCTGGCTGGGTGATTGTTCCTGAAATTGGACCAATACCCAATAGTAGCTGAAAGGAAGAGGATGCCTGGAATGCAGAAGATCCCTTAGGGTGTTTCTTGGTATTGCTATGCCCTGTGATTAAGGTCAATGGAAAACAGTAATCCAATCTAGACAAGACTATTAATGGCCCAGACCTTTTGGGAATGAATATTTGGGTCCTTCCACCAGGTAAAGACCCAGCCAGCTAAAGTGCTTTTTGAAGGCAAAGGGAATAGAAATTGGGTAATGAAGATGGTGGCTATAAATACCAGCCATCATATGACCAGTTAGGAGAAACAAGAACTGTAATTATCATAGATGTTTCTTCTTTATTTTATTATGTTTGTGTGTATGTCTAAAATATTTTTGTTTCTTCTTTCTCTGTCATTACTTTATTATGTAACATAAAATGTATTGGTTTTAAGGGTTGGAGCTGTAGCTCAGTGGTAGAGTGCTTGCCTAGCATGTGTGAGCACCACATAAAAATAAATAAAGGTCCACCAACAACTAAAAAAGAAAAAGAAAATATCTTTAAGCTAGGCATAATGATACATGCCTATAATTCTGGCTAGCCTTCCAGCAGGAGGCTGAGGCAGGAAGATTGTAAGTTCAAGGCCAGTCCTGGCAATTTAGTGAGATTGAGAGCAACTTAGTCAGACCCTATCTCTAAATAAATAGGGCTGGGTGTGTAGTTCAGTGGAAGAGCACCTATGGATTCAATCCCCAGTGCTAACCATACACATACACACACAAACCACAAATTATATATATAGACTTTAAATATCACTCTGCCGCAGTCTGGCTGGGCACAAATCACGAGCCACTGAAGCAGGAACAAACTTTATTTTTAAACTGCAGGAGAACACTTCACACAGCTCCCGGGGAATCCTCCCGAAGGCGCCACGAGGCTTGTCCAGGAACCCCCAGCCGGAAATATCTCTCCCGGAAATCCCTCCTCCTGCACTTCCCCAACCAATGGGAACTCTCGGGGAATCCCCGAAAATCCCCACGAGAACTCCAAAATAGTGCGAGAACTCAAAAGTTGCGGCAGAGGCGGATAGTAATGCCTCGCCTGTCAATCAATACTGTTGGCAAAATGCCAGGGGCCATACAGACTCAGCCGTGGCTCTCAGCATCACTCAAGGAATTTCTCTTTTTAAAAATATTTATTTATTTTTTTAGTTGTAATTGGACACAATACCTTTAGTTTGTTTATTTATTTTTATGTGGTGCTGAGGATCTAACCCAGGGCCTGGCACATGCTAGGCAAGTGCTCTATTACTGAGCCACAACCCCAACCCCTGAGCCACAACCCCAGCCCTCTCTCTTTTTTATGGGAAGAGGTTAATATATTTTTGGTTGCATGTAGAGTAGTTTATCATATTAGATTGATATGACTTTGTTATTGTCTTTATTTGGAAATTATGGAGATTATTTGGAGGTATGGTTTAAACAAATACATATGGGTGTTGAGTTTACAAGGGGCACACTTGTAATGGTATGTGTCAATATGACTGGGCTAGGAGTACCCAGATATTTAGCTAAGCATTATTCCTGTGTGACAGTGAGGATGTTTATAGATGAGATTAATATTTGAATTCCTAGACCAAGTAAACCACATTGCTCACCCCAGTCTGGGCATGTCTCATTCAAACCATGAAATCTGAATAGAACAAAAAGGATAAGGATGGGAAAACTTATTCTCTCTGCTTTTTACTGTTTTGGAGTGGGATGTCCTGCCTTTGGATTTGAAGTCTGACTAGAGCTTCCACCATTGGCTTTCATGACTCTCAGGCCTTTGAACTCAGTCTAGAGTTCATTGGCTCTTCTGGCTCTCCAGCTGACTGACTGAAGGTCTTGGGACATCTCACCTTCCATAACATAATGAGTCAAATCCTTATAAGAAATCTCTTTCTCGCTGGGTGTGGTGGTGCATGCCTGTAATCCCAGTGGCTCAGGAGGCTGAGGTAGGAGGATCACAAGTTCAAAGCCAGCCTCAGCAATTTAGTGAGGCTGTGTCTCAAAATAAAAAATAAAAAGGGCTGGGGATTTTGCTCAGTGGTTAGGTGCCACTGAGTTCAAACTCTAATACAAAAAGAAAAAAAAGAAAAGAAAAACCCTAACCATATCATGTATATTGTAGTTCCTTAATACATACTTTAAAAAAAGAATAGCATATTCGCCATTCAATTTTTGTAGCGCAACTAGCTAAATACCAGTAGGGACAATCTCTTTAAGTGGCTCTCTTATACTGCATCAGCAGAGAGAGTAGTGCTTTCCGCAGGCCAAAGGACATTGGCTAATTCTTTATAGGGAGCCAAATGAGTCTCCTTAGGCTTCTTCTTATAACAAACACCCACTAGAATTATGATTTTGGAATGATTTCCATTGCAAATCCCCTCTTTCGACACTCCTTTAAAAGGCAGCTGCGATATTTGGCTTCTAACCAAGGCCTGCTGCACCAACAATTCTCCAAATGTTATTTATATTTCATGTGCAGTATATTCGAACTCTCACTTTTCCAGGTGCCAGATGCTGGTTTGGACACACTCCAGTGGAAAGTGCTTTCCTGTAAAATAATAAAAGTAAAATGCTGAACAAACTGCCTCTTTATACCAGGCTTGCACCTAGTATACCAAAGTTAAGGACTCTAATAATTACTTCATTATTTCCCCAAATTTGCAAACCCCCAAATTCCAATTCATTACCTCCACTCCAAATACTTTGTCTTTTGGTTTCCATAGGATGTAAATGCTTACCTTTACTTTTTTTTAGTGTCATGTAAAAATGTCAAGAGTGTAGGAATTTCAGTCTAACATGCTTTGGGTCATGCCTAACCCATGTACCTACCCACCCAGGGGCATTTCAGATATGAGCTGGATGAGAAGAAAGCATTTTAACCCATTTACAGAATTTTTTTAAAAAAGGATTTTAAAAGATACTTGAAAACTTAATATATATTATTTTATTATGTTTAAAATGTTTTCATTTAAAAATGATGTTTTCTGTGTGTTTTATTATGATACTGCCTTTGTAGTGGTCAGAATTTTAAGCATAACACTTTTCCTAAGAATTAACATGAGATTTGCATTTGTCATAGGGATCTTGCCTTGCTTAGGCTGTCCTCAGTCTAAAGATCCAGCTTATGAGCAGTCTTTAGGTGGTTACTAAGAAAATATATGTAAGTTGTAGAAATTGCTGGTCTGGTGTTGTCCTACATCTCCACTTTCTTCATTTTTTATGTGGTAATATTTCACTGCACTGAAAATCTATATGATTCCTTGTTCTACTGTTCACAAATTTGAGAACTTTAGGGCTCGAAAGTTTATGTTTGTGTCAAAGCTTGCAGTTAAGTTGGGAGGTTTAAATGATATCCTGTTGAGACCTGCTATGATGTGTGTGTGAATGTGTGCGTGTTTGCGTGTGAGGGGACAGGGAGGGGACCTTTGTAAATAACAAGAATTCTGCTTGGTCCTGCCCAGCAACATTTTTCACACCTTGGGGCTGGTAGAACTTTTTCTTTTCTCGCTCTTTCCATTAGATGGCGGTAGATACCCAAGAAATAACTTTAAAAGCACTGGAGGGCTGATAGTTTATTTATTATTGGTGTGTGTGTGTGTGTGTGTGTGTGTGTGTGTGTGTTTCCTTTTGCTGTCACACCAAAGCCCTCTTTGGCAGGTGGGCATGGAATACATTTTTGTCATGTTTGTGGGTAGGGGTGGTTGGGAGCCCGGGAGACTTTATTAAACAGACCACCTGTTAAGTTTCACCCTAAAGATCAGTAGAGGAAAGTGACCAAGGGGTGGAAGATGGGGACGGAGGGGGAAAGTGGAGGGGAGTTATATTGGCCAATTTGTTATATTGTGTAACGTGTGCATGTATGAATATGCGACAATATATCCCATTAGTATGTGCCACTATAATGAACCAATTTAGAAAGTGGTGAGAAAAACTTTCTCCCTAAACATCCATGAACATTTGCCATTTGAGGAAAAAATTCCTTAGAATGTTTCTCAGCCATCAACAGACTTGATATAAGTTTTGAAGCCAATCAGGAGAGCTGCCAGCATTGATTTAGAGATACTGCGATCAGCATCTGTTGCATGTTTGTGGAGATGGAAGAGAGCCTTTCGCTGATGGGACATGGTCTCAGCGACCTGTGGACTGAAATCCCACACTACGACTTGCAATCAATTCACTAGTATTTATGAATTCTTTTTCTTGTGTGCCTCGTACTTCACAGGCGCACAAGAAATAAAAGACATGGTGTCCTCTAGTCCAGTTATAATAGAGAATACAAAATATACACAGAGAAATAACTGCCGAGCAAGACTTAGCCTGATAAAGTGATATTGTATGGCAAAGACACTAAATCCTTTTAAGTTTTATGAGAGGTCAGTGGGTCCTAAGTGCCCTTAGGGTTAAGCTTTGTGTGGGGAGAAAGGAGAAGGAGGTGGAGGAACAAGGAGTGGGTACAAAACAGGGTGACGGGGAGGGAGACACCTTTGGAGAAGTCTGGAGAGAACTTAGAATTGGGAGGGAAGAGGATATACCGGCAAAAGTGCGGCCAAGTCCAGTTCGGCATTGGTTTGCAGCCTCAGAAAGCTCCGGCTCAGCGGACCCTTCTCCTGTCTTCACTTAGGCCCAAGGCATTGAGGTCACGGTGGAGCGTTTCGGGTCAGGTTTCTTTGGCCACGCGCTGTAAGCCCGCGACCTCTTGCTGGGGCGCCTGGGCGCCAGCAGCTGGGGACCAGCCTGCGTAGACTGCGCCTAGAGTGCCCCGCGGCCTGGGTCAGCCACGGAGGGGGCGTGGCGAGCGTGGGCCGGAGGGGCGTGGCGTGGGCGGACCGGTGGGCGGAGCTCTCCTCACCCGCTCCCGCCGCCTTTGCCATCGCCTCCGCCCGCCCGCCGCGCGGACCGAGGGAGCCGGGTAGCAGCCGTCTACCCGCCCGCCGCCCGCGTGCTTGGGCTGCGGTGGGCCAGGATGTCGGGCTTCCTGGAAGAACTGCTTGGCGAGAAGCTGGTGACCGGCGGCGGCGAGGAGGTGGACGTGCACTCGCTTGGCGCCCGCGGCATCTCCCTGCTCGGGCTCTACTTCGGCTGTAGCCTGAGCGCCCCCTGCGCGCAGCTCAGCGCCAGCCTGGCCGCCTTCTACGGCCGCCTGCGGGGGGACGCGGCGGCCGGGCCAGGGGCCGGGGCTGGGCCGGGGCCGGGGGCCGGAGCGGCCGCGGAACCCGAACCGCGGCGCCGCCTGGAGATCGTCTTCGTGTCTTCGGACCAGGACCAGAGGCAGTGGCAGGACTTCGTGCGGGACATGCCATGGTTGGCGCTGCCCTACAAGGAGAAGCACAGGAAGGTGAGCGGCGCGGGCCTGTTGGCGCCCCCGGCTTCGAAGCCCCCGCGCTCCCGGGAGCTCGGTCCTCGCCGCCCCTGCTCTGCTGTCCCCTTGCCCTCCTTCTCCATCTTGGCACGTACCTCCTCTCTTGTCCCTATCTGAGCTCGCACCCCGATCCTAGGTTGGGGCGCCGGCGGCAACTCCTAGGTGCCAGTGTCAGGCTGCTCCCGCAATGGGAAGTTTTGACACCCTTTAGCCCCCTGGACCCTGGCTTAAACTGTGACCCCTTCTCACATTTTGGGAGTCTCGCGAAAGGGTGACTATTCTCTAGGGTCGCTACCCAGTGACCTCCCCCCACCTCTTTCTATTAGTGCAGGGAGGGGGCCTTCCCCCAACCACTTAACTCCTGGTGGATACCTGTAATGGGTTGGGGAAAGCGCTAGCCCCCTACCCATAATGCCCAAACCAGGAAGTTTCCTTTCTATTCCAGAGAAACCTGCTTTCCTGGGGCCCCCTCCCAAAGCACTAGGGACCTGGAGGCCGATTCTGGGGTCAGGCCACTGATCGCCCCAGGGAGACGGCCACTAATCGTGGTTTTGGGTGAGAAGGGAGCTTTCTTCTCTTGCCTTTTCCCTACTTTTCCCCCTTTCCCGGGGCTGAATTAGTGGCCTCCGGGGAGCTTTTCATTGTCTGGCTGTCCAGCTATCTCCAGGCCCAGGAGCAGTCCCGTCCTTGCAGATCCCTTAGTTTCTTGGTGGGCCACTGTTGTTTTGGCTACTTGGAATTAAATGAAGAACTGATCCCATAGATGCAGCTTGACTGGGAGAACTAGGATTCCAGGAGATATATACTTTGCTGTCAATTTCTCGTTCCTCCCAGTTTGCTGCTGGAATTAGTTTGGGTTCCTGTGTGTATCTGTTGGATGAAGATGTCCATTTCAATAAAACAAATTCAGGACATTTTGTAATGAATGGTAACAGAAAAAGTTTTGGAGTGCTCTTGCTTAATTAGTGTGTCTGATGCAGAGGGATTCCAACTCCTTCCCTTTCTGAGGAGAATCTCAGTTTATGGGGTGGACAGGAGGGATACTATTCTGGGGCGTTTAGTTTCCTCTAGGGAGGATGGTAACGCATGCCATGTGTTTCTTTTATGTGTGTACAGAATCTTGTTGAGAAGCATGATTTAGATTTAGTGAGAGCAAAAGGCTTGTACTGTGACCCCAAATGTCTCGAGTAAATCTTCCATCCCAAAGCAGTGTTAAGGTACAGACTTGAGATTTAGAGTATGAAATACAGTTTAACAAATGCAGTTTGCAAATTTAACATTGGAAAAACATGGGTTCACTAACCACAGAGAAACAAGACTTCCCATTTTTGACCACTTTTTAGGTTATTTTGCCCATATTTGATTTATATGCTTGATAGGGTGTGAATATGCATGGCTAGTACTTTTTGCTTCAAAATATGAGAATCCTTTGTTTTCTTTGGTTGTGTATATGACTGTTTTGGGGAGAAATAATGCTCAGAAAGTGATTTATCAAAAAATACTTTTATTCTTCTAGCAAGTTTCTGTTGTAGACTGAAGTCTGTTTAAAATAATATCCTCATTGGGGAATATAAATGATTTCTGGCTTTTGAATACAAACAAGGAATGGTAAGTGTTACATAGCTAGGTCTATTGTTATGTTTTTTACAAAAGGGAAAATAAAATTGTTGGATAGTAAAAATATGGAATAAATTGAGATGTTTTGGAAATCTTAAAGCTCCCCCCCCCCCAAAAAAAATGGGCATATTTGATATGATATAGGCCATGTTTGATTCTCTCTACCCTAGCTGCTAGTCCCTTTATGTTGGCGGTGGGGAGAAGGTTCTGTGGCCCTAGCCTGGACCTGCTGAATTTCATCAGGATGAAGCATCTGGAGAACATGGAGATCCCATTTGAAAATATAGTTTATAGTGTGGAGGTACCTAAACTGTGATGTGTTAGCATCTTACAATTTTTATTTAAAGATTTTTTTTGTTTGTTTAGCTGGGGATCAAACCTGGGAATTTTGTATGTGCTAAATATGTGTTCTACCACTGAGCTATATTTCTCACCCCCCTAAATTTATTTTTTGCTCAGAGTTTTTCTGACTCATATCCTAGAATTTACTTTGTTGTTCAAAACCAGACTAGTTTTCAAGGAGGTGGTTTCTGTCTCTGGATATTGGTGAATAGGCAGCTCAAGATCTGATCCCAGAAACATTCTTATTTGTAGTGATGTATACCAGGTAAAAAGGCTCCAGCTGTGTTTCTTATGAAAAACATACTCTTGGAAATTGCAAAAGCTGTGTATTCACTTTGAAAGGAATTATTTTCTTCCTTGAAACCAAAGAGATGTAAAACGAATTCCTCTTTTGTAACTGAGTTTTTGTCTCTCTTGTTTAAAATGGGGTGCATAGAAATCTGTGAGTTTGTGATGCTAATTTCACCCTAAGAACAGTGAAAAGCCAGGGCACCCCCAGTTCAGGGCAATGGGTAGGTGAACACTTAACTTTTTTTTGAAGGGCTCTGTTCATGCTATTTCACCAACCATAAAAATAGCTTTAAAGAAGGGAATTTTCTTTTACAGTGAAGGGAACCAAAGTTACAGATTACATTTTTTTAAAGTTCTCATTAACATTTGCTCTTTAAAACCATTTGTGTACTTCTTCCCATTGGGATAACAAAGGATATGGTTCTAATTAGTTATTGGCTGGCATTTCTCTAAAGAAAATTGAAAAATTATGGTGGGGAAAGAAAATGCTGTGTGGTATTTCTTTTTTTCTTCTTTTATTAATTTCTCCTTTATATAGTAAGAAAGTCTGGGGATGACCATATATGTTCAGCCTGCATCTTCTCTGGCTCCTCTCACCTTCATTGAAGCTATGAGAAACCACTAAGTAAAGGGATTCCAGCATCCTTCTCTTTTTCTCTCTCTTTTAAAAATTCTTTATGGAAGGTTGTCCTGTTTCTGCTTGTTTTAATGGTAGGTACAAAAGTAATTAAAGCTTCTTTTTTTTTCTTTTTGGCTTCCACAACACACACATTATTATATAGTTGTATAGAAATTGTAATTAGATGATAATAGAACTTTGAGTGCATTTATAAGACCAGTTTTGTCATGAAACCTATAATCCTGAAGTAAGGCAATTAGTCTTGTTTTAATAAGTAGGTTGGTGGACATTTTTGAGATTTCTAAAGAGAGAGAGTGACGAATAGTTGGAAAAGGGTGAAGATTTAGACTTTGAAGATTGGATCTGTCCCTTTAGATGAGTTTAACTTACTCAGTTGTCAAAACTGGAGGATCTGTCTCCAAGATCCACTTCAGAGTCAGAAGAAAGCACTGCTTTTCATTTTAAAGCCACAGGACCTGGCTTTGCCTGGGCTGGGTGCCTGATGGAAAACATTTGGTCATTGTGGGTGCATGACATGAAAGGGAGTAGACAGTGACTTCCCTCCCAACAGGTTATTTGGCTCTGGCTTGGTCCCAGAACTTTCTGCATGGCAGAAAGGGAAGAGGAAGTTGGGGTGGGAGATTAGCTGAGTCAGGGGGCATCCTGGCCTACCTGCTTTGGCCAGGGGAAATGGAGCCATCCTCCAGCTGCTCTGTATTGGGCTGCTGCTCTGACTGCTCTTGATGGTTCTTTGGTTCAGATTAAAACAGAGGCGTGGCTTAGAATTCACCTGAATCCTTTTGGCTCTTTGGGTGGATGGGATCTTGTGCCAGCTCAGATAGTCTATAGTTTCATCTCTTCTACTCGTTCTCAAATCCAAATACTGTAGCCAATAAAAGAACAGGGACGGGTCACCTTATCTTTTCTTATTCTCATTTTTCCCCCGTGCTGGGAATTGAATCCAGGACCTCATGCATGCTAGGTAAGCGCTCTACCACTGAGCCACATCCCCAGCCCTCCTCTTCACTTTTAAGATGGTAAAAAAGATACAGCTTTTGAAAATAGGGGTTTTTGCCTTCCTAATAAAAACCCTGGACCAGCCAGGATAGGTGTCCACTGGTGACTGTATTTCTAGGATATTGGTCAGTTTAATAAAAGACAACAGTCCAATTAAATTAATAAGAGCAATGTTCCTTGAGAGGCTTTTTCCTTGTTCCATTATTTGTAATGGTGTTTTTTAATCTTACTTTTTCTTTTCTGTATGATGAAGCAGTCTACTAGCTACAAATGTAGATTCTTTTATCCTTCTGCCTGAGTTCAGATGTTGGCTCCTTTTTTTTTTTGGTTCCAGGATTGAACCCAGGGGCGCTTAACTACTGAGCCACATCCCTAGCCCACTTCATTATTTATTTATTTATTTATATTATTAATTAAAAAAAAATTAGTTGTAGATGGACACACTACCTTTATTTTATTTATTTATTTTTATGTGGTGCTGAGGATCAAACCCAGGGTCTCACAAGTGCTAGGCAAGAGTGAGAGCTACACACTTACAAATGAGCTACAGCCCCAGCCCTCATTTTTTGAGACAGGGTCTCACCAAGTTGCTTATGGCCTTGCTAAGTTGCTGTGGCTGGCTTTGAACTTGCAATCCTCCTGTCTCAGCCTCCCAAGACCCTGGGATTACAGGTGTGTACCGCCATGACTGGCTGGCTCTGCTTTATATTGACTATGGGTATTTGTGCCCACACAGGTTACTTACCTGTAGAATGGAAATAATAATAGTATCACCTGCCTTACAGGATTGTTGTATAGAATATACAAGATAATATACCCTTGCTTGGCAAATAGTAAGTGCTCAGTAAATGCTATTTATTATTAGTTAGTAACTGATCTTCAAATTTAGTAATTCATTTCATAGCTTGAGCCTTTGGAATGCATCACATCACAGAAGTTGCAAAACTTACCAGGTGTATGTGTGTGTATATTTTTTCTTTCTTTTTGTCTTTTTTTAAAACTTTTTCAAATCAATGACTTACAAGCATGCAAGGGGATATGGTGAACGTGTTGAAAGAATTGCCCTACAAGACATTGTAATTGAGGAGAA